GTCCGGTCAGGTCTGTTGGCCTTTGATAAATTAACACTCACGGCTTGCCATTAATTTTCGGAAATGTACAACGTGCCGCGCCAGCTACAGTGTGAAAATTTGCTAAACTAGCTGCTGAACATTATTATTGTTATTGGCATTGCCTGTATGTAGTATTCTCAAGTGAATACGAAATCGAAGTCAGTTAATATCGCTCGAACGAAAATTATGAAAAAATCATATTCACAAATGTTTAAGCAGAAATGGCAATCAACTGCTAAGTACCTCAGTATTTATCATTGTTTTCAATATCACTTACAAACAAATGGATTCTTTAATAAGGTTAGCGAGGGAAAGAAAATATCGTTCTGCATAAACAAACATTTTATAAATAGCTTGCTAATAGTTTTTGAGTTTATATATTTTGAAATATTTACTTTAAAAACTTTAACTAATATCGCAGGCTTAGTAGAAATACCTTTCACAATCCCTTCAGCAAACTGTTACTGTGGGCACTCAACTTTTATAGAAATACTAGATTCTTAACATAAGGAGACCCACACAATATTATCAAACTTACTTGTGTATTTTTTTGTCGTTTAAGTTTTTGTTTTTGAACTCTATTTTTTTTAATATTTCATTCTATATCCACTTAGTTGTAACGCCTTCCTTAATATCTCCTTAGATAGAAGACTTCGCGGTTGATTTAAATTGGGAGCACAATTATGGCTTAAAAAGAGTGATATAGAACTTTAAAGTAATACAATTATTGCAGTAATCATTCTAAACAATATTATTTCAATTTGAATTACATCTAATTTATCTTTGCCAATTAATCCTTAAAAATTTCATAGTTATGTTGAAACGTGCTCGCCTTTAAAGTCGGCCCTTCTTCCGTTTTTACTAAACTTAAACCTTTTCCCACAGTGCTATGACCATGTTGACCATCATGTTACCATTTCCATTTGGCACAAAAATTATTGCATTTTATGCCTACTATTGTAAGCTTTATACCTTAGGCACCTTCGTCTTCTGCTTTTGGGCGTCTCTTGGCGTTGGTGTTGGTGTTAACGTTTATTATGCAAATTTTTTAGCATTAACTGCAAGCGCGCTGGTCTGACTTGAAAATTAATATGCAAAAATTGGGCGGCTTTTGTGTGTCGTTGGCATTTAACGGCACTCCATGCTGATGATTGTGATTTAGAGTGCAGCCATTAAATCAGCGACAAGTTGCTGCAAACTTCATAACAATTGAAATGCCGCAACTGTGGCTTCTACTGCAGCCGCTGCTGCTTTACATACACATACGAGTATAAGTAGTTGCCAATACACGAAGCAGTTGCACTGTGGCAGTGGCAAGTCTCTCTTCGCTAACAACTTGATTGGTAGCAGCGCGTACTTGGCTGACATTGAAATGTGGGTCTGGCATTGATGCTTCTGATGCCTGCCAATGATTGTTCTGCGCAGTTGTCAGGCCGTAGCAACAAAAACAAGAACAACAGCAATAGCAGCAGCCGCAGAAGCAGCAGAAGCAGCAACAAGTTGCACTTGTCATGCCACATAACTAGGCTGAAATTCTAGCTGTGGCTCCTGTAGCCACCGCAACCGCAACCGCCACTGACACTGGACTCTATTGCATAACTAACAATGTTCGGATCGCATAAATACAGAGCGCTGTTGTTGTTATAGATCGTGCTTGTATGTATCGAATGGAGTAACGGGCATTGCTTGACATGCAAAACTATTTCAGTTATGTGCGCGCAGCTCCGCTGATTATGCCAGAACGTGCACGAGGGTGGGTCAGGAGCAGGGGCGGTGCAGTGCAGTGTAGTGGTACAGAAAGCAGAGTGAACAGAAAACAGTGGACATGCGCAGACATTAATTCAATGCAAATGGCGGCATTTAGTTTATAGAGATAAGTCAACTGCCAGAGTCGAGCTCTTGACTACGCATAAGCAGCAAAAAGCAATGCGAGTACAATACAAAAATGTTACTTAGCGTTGAAGATATTGGACTTTGCGGTGTTCAGAAACAATAATGTGATACTCTGCAATAATATTGCAGTTGCAGTTCGGTGCTTGAACATAAAACTAGAGTACGAAATATAAAATAGTCTAGATATATCTTGTTCGGGTCTATAGAAACTAATTATTTGCGTTGAAGAATGAAGATGCGAGAGATATTGCCGTTAACATTTTAACATTTCTTCTCAATTGAGGTTCAATTGTTTGACCAAGAATATTAAATTAAAAAGAATAAAACGTTATTTTAAGGAACTTAATTTAATTTATCGAATGAATTTTAACACCGATTTGAAAACCGAGAATTGTATTATGTGTAATTTTGTTTTAAACTTGCATATTTCTTCAAGGCCTAAACTCAAATAACAAACATTTGGTCATTATGACTTCTTGAAACACAAACGAAACCCATAATTCACATCGCATACGAGTACATCCATATGGAAGATATCGAATCTAAAATAAAACAGATGCCAAGTGAATGCAATACCCCCTTTGGTGTCTCCACATGACAACAAAATGAATACACTCGCTTTAATGAGTGTATGGGAAAACAAGTTCGTTGTCTGAGTCTTTTGATTTGATAAGACTGAACTGCGACAGCTGACATACAAAAACAATTAGCAAGCGCTCAATGCCAATGCCCAATGTGCAGCAAAAACAGCAGTGTGCGAGCGTATCTGCACACAATGAGGCAAGTTCGTTGCCTAAGTCTTTTGTTTTGTGGCCTTACCTAATCCTCTTGTAACTGAGACTATTAGCAGCCCATTTCATAGCCTAACCCCACAGCATGCAGTCCATCCGCTCTCACATGATTGATAGCCGGCTGCGAGCGGGCCGCTTGTTAACGTTCAATTAGTGATATTGATAGACAAGCCACATACAAACAACAATATACTATACTTAAACATATACATACAAATATGTACGATATACATATGTATAGTCCTATGTTATATAGCTGTGGAGAAACATAAACAAAAATAAAGCCAATGTTATGGACGATGTTGAAGATGAAGTAGAAGGCAAAAACGAAAACGAAGCGTTCTCAAAACCACAAATTACATGTTAATTAAAATGTTTTACTTTAAACCCCATTCTCCCCTCTATTGGGCTTTCTGAGATTTTTATCCGGCCGTGCTGCCCATGCCTGCGGCTGCAACAGTCAATGCTGCCGCATGCCACACACACGCGCATAAACCGTTCTTCTTTCTTCTATATATACAGGTATAAATATATATATATTTTTTGCCGCTACTCTTGCCTTGGTTTGGTTTGCTTTTTGGGCGTCTTCTGGTCAATGGCTCATTACATTTGTGGGTTAGCAGGTGAAGCAGCCCCGAAACTTTTACAAAATTGTAAATCATTTATGCGTATGAAAAAGAAGAGATACAAAAACCAAAAAAAATGGGAAGGCGCTGCAGCAGCCGCTTATTAAAAGACCGTCTTTTGGCCAAAAAGGCAGCGGCGCATGCGCCTTGTAAGCTATAATTAACATAAATTCATAGCACTAATTGTGGAAGTGCTGGAAGTGAATGTCGGCTCTGCAACGTACCTGTTCCATAGCTTTTCGTCAGTAATGAGTCTTTCAAAAGAACATTTTCAATATGCACATTGTCTGCTGATATGGAAGAACGAGTCTCCAGAGATTTCCTCCCTCATTTGTGTATTCTTCTGTCTATGTGTGTGTGTGTGCACTTAAAACTCTGTTATTAACTTTAACGGTGCTTTTTGGCGTTTGTTGCTGCTGCTTTTTTTCTCCTCTAATTTATGTGTGAGAGCGCCGAGTTTTTGTTTTGCATGTAAATCTGTAGCAGACACTAGATGGCGCTTTGCTAGTCGCGATCAACATCAACAGCAACATCAACATCAACATAGACGAACGCATCATATGTGCGCGCCCTATAATTAATTATGTAACAAGTTCCCAAAGGCATCACTGCTCAGAAGTTTCTCACGCAGCTGCTTATTAACTGATTTACAGCTAACAGCTCTACGCCAGCTGCTCTTCCTTCTTTTCTAGCTATTGTTGTTGTTGCTGTTGTTCCTGCAACTCCATTTAATGAGTTATTATGGCCCGCATTTAAGATTATCTCACAATGGCGCGGCAGCTGTTGTGCGTTTTATTATTGTTCAGTCATTCATTTATTCACTCTTTTGGCCATATACTACTACTTCACGACTGCGTTGCGCGTGTGCTTGTTTTTTTTTTTAGTGTTTTGGCCATAAAACTGTAGCTTAGCTCGCAAAGAAAACAAACAAAAACCCTAACAACATCAAAATGCTGAGTGCTTAGCTTTTATGAATGAAATCCCCACTTTCACACTTTAAGTACATTTTCGTCTTTATTTCGCGTCAGGTGTTGTTGATAATTTGCGAGATTTGGCCAGTGGCAGTCATAAAAAATGTGGGTTTGATGGCGCCGCATGCATGTTACATAAGCTGGCGAAATTCTCAAATAGTTTAGCACATCGAATTGTAGAAAAAAATAAAAAAAATTGCGCAAAAGAAAAATCGTTTCCCAGCCACAGCTTTTCTTCACACAATAAACTTTTGCGCCCAAACATTTTTCATTGCTGTGGCTGTAGCTGTAGCTGTTGCCATTATTGTTGTTGCTGTTGTTGTAGCAAACAAACATTGCTCGTCGTTGGCTGTAGCTTTAATTAGGCGCTGCACAGCGAACAAGCGAGCAATTAAAGCTCAACAGCAGCAGCAGCAGCAGCAACAACAACAACAATAATGCTGGCCACATCAGGTTGTCAGCCAAGCCCAGAAAGACAAGCAAGACAGAAAGACAGACGAACTAACGAACGAACCCAAACAATGTGCCGTTCGAAGCACCCCACCATGCCAAGTCAGCTAATATCAAACTAATAAAATGCACACCAGGAATTACATAAATTACGCGTAACGTAAAATTAGTGCTTGCCTAATTAACATTGTACCACACCCGCACCCCGCCCCCATCTTTTTCTCTACAATTGCAGGGAGCCAAGCAAAATGTTTCTACGCCACTGCACTCTTCTCCTACTGATCTGCCTAATTGCGAGCAACGCCAGCGCCGCACGCAAAACAAAACGTCCTGTCAAGCCGGTCAAACAGACGCTTTCACGCAACAACGCAACGCCTGCTCCCGCTCCAGCGCCAGCGCCTGCGCTCACGAACAGCGCCAGCACAACAACAACTACTGCTGCTACACAGCAAGCCGATGAGCCTCTGGATGGCATCTTGGCAGAGGCTGCACCTCTGACAGGCAGCAGTATCATCAGCAATAGCGAGTTGCCCAAGCCGCTGGCCATGCAGAACGATCCCATCGCCATTCCCGTCGAGGCAAAGACGGACAAAGTGCCCGCAGTACCGGCCACGGCAGCAGCGGCAGCAGCATCACCGTCTGCCGCCGAGGAGGAGTGCGATCCAGATATGATTGGCTTTGAAATTGTGACGGGGTAAGTGACATTAAAACATCATAATTTATAAGTAGTACGCCATAAAAGACAAAGAGCAAAAACTACGAACTGTTATCAAAGCCAACAATCAAAAAGTTTCACTGCCCAGCGCTATTGCTTATGCAATAAGTTTAATTATAGAAATCTTTTATTTCAAACTTCCAGTTTTCACTTTTACTTTCGGACCATTCTGCCCTTATGACTTGGCGCAATGGCATAGAAACTTTTTCGTTTAACAAAAGAAGTATACGAGTAGTAATAGTGCTCACAAATTTTATCAAATGCATATTAAATTATGTTTGGCGTAGGCCATAATAATTTGCATAAGACTTGGCCAGCGTAACGGTACTAGATATGCATATTCAGCAGCGCACAGTGGTTGAAATTTATTGGAAAAATAGTCACTCGGAAATTGTGTTTGTAAATATAAACAAATATTACGAAGGTGTATTACAGCTTGAATTAAACTAGAAGAAACGCCGCTAACTCTTTTAATCTTGAAGTTCTTTGGGTTAGGACTCCACTATAGGCGCCATATTATAACTAAGTCGGAATAAAATCTCTCTAATGAATGAATTTGAAGAGCCTTAGTGATAATGCATAATTATCAAAATGGATGGCATTATTAAATTCGAGCATCGACCATTTCATATTGAATTTAACATGTATCTACAAGACTAAAAAGTCTACAAGTCTACAAGACTAAAAAATTGAATAATTTTCGAATTCATTCTATTATCTCTAAAAATTATTACCCAAATAAAGAAGGAATATTAAACAATACTTAATCTTCAAATTTCAACCACTGTGCGACTAGGGAACACTGCTAACTGCTCATGACTGTTATTCATATGCAAATGTATATCACTTGCCGGTTTTGATGCGTCAACGCTTTAAAAAGTGATCAACATTAATTTCGAAAGGCGGCGGCAGGTGCTACTCTGGAAACAAGTTTGTTGCCAGACTCTTTTGTTACCACATAACGAATTTATGCTCGCTCATTGTTAATATTTAGGTATATGTGGGCTATATGGTGTATGACGTTGTAGAATCGTTGGTAGGAACTTTCATTTTCATTTCAAGCCATCGCAGGTTAATGAGCATCGTTTGTTGTTGTGCGCTCGCTGTGCGGGCGTTCGTTTCATTCCAAATGCGGGCGTTACAAGTTGGGCGCGTCGGGGCGTTTGAAGTTATCAATAACCGGGCATAACGGTTGGGCGCAGCGACCGACCGAACGACAAGACGGGGAAGGTGGTGTAACGCCTTCACAGTATTTATAAATTGCTAATGAAATTCGTCTCGCTACATTATGGGTTTTATGTACTTTACAGTTACGTGCTTTCGGCACCATCGAAAATGCTGGACACACTGCCGGGCACCCTGATGCTGACCGATTGTCTGGAGGCCTGCCAGAGCAATGAATCCTGCAGTTCTGTCAACTATGAAACCGGCTTGTGTGTGCTGTTCAAGACGACAGCCGATAAATTGCCAGGTGAGTGCGAGTTCGAGTGCCAATGCGAGTGCGAGTGCGAGATCAGGCAAAAAGCGCACTACAAGAAGAAAGTGTGAGAATCGAAGGCGCTGCCTGTCTGCCTGCCTGCCTGCCTGGCTGCCAGCCTGCCGCCTGCCTGCTTGTCTTTCTTTTGCTTTTTGTGCCAAAGAAAGTTCAATAATTCAAATGTGCGCACAAGCTTGCTTGGCCATTTATTCAATTATTGAGTTCTAGTTCATGAAAAATGAGAGAGTCAAAGCAGCCGTTTCAGTTGCTAGGCATAAATCACACAAGTGACGCGCCCAACCCGCATTATACGCATGATTTTGTTGCGGCAACGCCACCGATTGTGGCAGCAAGTTGGCCCAAACTAGATTTTGCCTATTCTGCGGCACAAACTGGCTTTGAGTGGCATTGCGGTTTGGCGTTTGGCTGTTTGGCTGTTTGGTTGTTTGGCGGTTTGGTGGCAAGCCTAACGCATAATTTCTGCCTGCCGTTGTCGTTGTCGTCGTCGTCGCGCGGCCTGCGTTTCTCAACGCCTGTTACTTTTCAGTGAAGGGGCGTGTGCGTAAAACGCACTCACGCACTATCGCACTAATACGCCCGACACCGTTGGCTCATGATTTTTTGTGTGTCTTTGCCATCCATGTTGCAGGTTCACTTTCGCGCTCACAGTTTCCGGTTTTCACCATCTACGCACAAAAATCCTGTTTGGGCGTGCGTCCTTGCTCCAAGGCCTGGTGTATAGATCGCGTTCAAGGTTACCGACTGCCCGAGCATGTCAAATCTAGTCAGACAGTGCTCTCACGCCGCGACTGCCTGGAGCTGTGCCTTGGCGAGACGGAGTTTACATGCCGGTGAGTTCATTGCGCCCATCTACGAACCTACATAGGTATTGCGTAAGCACGCTGCCTTTATCACTCTGGCCATCCTCCGGCCAACTACCTCTGCCTAACTCTATTTATCTTCTCCTTCTCTCTGTCTCTGTCATTTTACACACAACACACATACCATCTTCCAACTTCACACTATGACTCCAAACGCCTCTATGCTGCTCATAAATCTCGCACCACGTGCAGCTCGGCCAACTATTACCGCCACTCGGGTCTGTGCGAGCTGTCGGATATGGACCGCATTACACTGTCTGCGGGCACCAGCGTGGAACCCTACGATGGAGCTGACTATTTGGAAAACAACTGCGCTGAGGAGCCCAACAAACTGTGCGAGTTCAAGCGCATCTCTGGCAAAATTTTGAAGACTGTTGACTCTGTATACCAGGATATCAATACGATTGAGGAATGCCGCGATCTGTGTCTAAACTCGCCCTACAGGTAATTACCCATAAAGCGATTCAAATCAGATCGTTTAAGATACCTGTTGGGTAACCTTTGACTAGAACTAAACTCAGTGAGCAAAACATGAACTATCTAATCCATTTAAACAAAATAGAGTAGAGCATTTAATATAGATATAAAGTACTTTCGCAAACAAACAAATAATGGCTTTTATGTTTTTCCCTGACATATTACTCCTGTTTACCCACAGATGTCACTCTTACGACTATAACGACACTGGCGATATGGTATGCCGCCTTTCGCATCACAGCCGCGCTACACTCACCGACGTACTCGACCCCTACCTGGACGTGCCTGAAGCTGCCACCTACGAGCTGTCAGCCTGTTACAACGTTTCCATTGAGTGCCGCGCCGGCGAAATGATCACCAAAATTCGTACATCCAAGCTGTTCGACGGCAAGGTCTATGCCAAGGGCGCGCCCAAATCTTGTGCTGTCAATGTGAACAGTTCGCTGGAGTTTGACTTCCGCATGGGCTACAACGATCTCGAGTGTAATGTGCGCCAGAGTGCCTATGGTCGCTACATGAACGATATTGTCATACAACATCACGACATGATCGTCACCTCCTCCGATTTGGGTCTGGCCGTCTCCTGCCAATACGATTTGACCAACAAGACGGTGCTTAACGATGTGGATCTGGGCGTCACTGGCGAAATTGAATCATCGCTCAGCGAGGAGATCACCATTGACTCGCCTAATGTTGTGATGAAGATCACTTCACGCGACGGCAGCGACATGAAGCGCATTGCTGAGGTGGGCGATCCACTGGCACTCCGTTTCGAGATCGTTGAGCCAAACAGTCCCTACGAGATCTTTGTGCGCGAGCTTGTTGCCATGGACGGCTCGGACAGTGCTGAGATAACGCTGATCGATGCTAATGGCTGCCCCACCGATCAATACATCATGGGCTCAATACAGAAGCTGTCCCATAATCGCAAGGTGTTGCTCTCGCAATTCGACGCCTTCAAGTTCCCATCCAGCGAGGTGGTACAATTCCGTGCTCTCGTCACGCCCTGCATACCGCGTTGCGAGCCCGTCATTTGCGACAACGAGGACGGTGCCAGTGGTGAGCTCAAGTCTCTGGTCTCCTATGGCAGGAAGAAGCGTTCGGTGTTGAATGGCACCGATGGTGGTAAGTGCTGGTCGATGGTGCAACTTACCTCATTGCGCCCTGCTAACTGCTTGCAAATTCACACACAGCCGAGTTCATGGTCAGCAGCACACGCCAGCGTCGCGATGTGAGCCAACAGTCCCCTGACGACAACATTCTGCTCGTGCAGTCCATACAAATCACAGATAAGTTCGGCTTCCAAGCGGAGGATGGTGATGGCGTAACCAATGCTGAGGCCCACGACAAGACGCACACTAGCGGAATCGGTGGTGGAGTGCAGGACAAGCTCACTTGTCTCAATGGCTATGGTAAGTCGCAATTCTCTCTCTCCCTGTGAAAATGCCCAATCAAGCGCGAATCAAAGTTGGCTCGCTGTGCTGATTTGCATAGACAATGCGCAACTATGGCGCGATAAGCAGCGCAGTCCAGGACGTCGTGCCGGCTCGGACAGCGGGTGGCCATCCAACAGACGACTATAGGCAGCAGCTTCTATTACATCGTGAGCCACTGACTTGTTCTGGCCATTGTGGCTGCTCGCTAATTTTGATAATGAATCAATTTTTCATCATTGCCGCTGCCTGCATGAGAAATAAATTAGAATTCTTCTATGTGGTTCTATTCTTTTCCATTCCATCCATCCACCCTGACCGCCTTCTCCCATTCCTCTTGCACTTGTTGGCAAACGTGTTTTCTGCGTTTTGTGGCAGTCAGTTTGCAATAGAGATGTGATGGTTCTAGAGCTTTTGAGCTAGATCGCAATGCATTTCAATACATATCCATGATAGCAACAATTTCAGGAGTACTATTTTTACTTCAGCAAACTCAAGTAGCATTTCAGGCCCAATTTCTATTCAATTGCTCCACATATACCTCTTCTTTTAGAGGGCATCGTTTTCTTGTTTAAGAACTAGTTCATTCTAGAAACATTCTCATACGAAAGCCAAGCCAACTAAATTAGTATTAGAACTAGTTCATGCAACGCATCGAATTAATTTGCACATCACTGGCTAATAGAGTTTACTAAACAAGTTATGATATTGTTGGCTTCACCAGCATTTGCGCATGCGCATCATCAGCGCTTGGATCACGACCGGGTCAGTAGTTCAATGTGATTCTTGGCAGCTGCAGCTGCTGCCACTAGTGCCACTGCTGCTCCTACTTCAGGATGCACTGGGTGCACGCCTCAGTTTTCGTGTGGCGTAAGTTATTTGCACAGTTGCTTAGTTGGTCCGTTAGAAGAGCCTCAACTTCAGATTCAGCAAGTTCCATGTGTCATTGCCACGGTCGAAGTTGCCTTTAGCTTCCATGCTTTGTGGAGCAATTTCAATGCACATTTGGTATGCTGCATTATAACAACAAATGCAGCATTGAAGCGTTAAATTGACAGCTTGTTAGCTGGCAGCCGGCAGCCGGCCACCAGCAGCCTTAGCTCGCGTCCAGTCTAGTCTCTCGACGACTGCCGATGTCGATGTAGTAACATAAATTTCCGTGGTAATTACTACACGCAGTGGCTGCCCGACAAAGTGCAACGCTCACTGACCGTAATTAGAGCAACGGTTTTTCGGTTTAAGCCCATTTGCCACACACAAACACTCACGGATTCACCATACAAGATTAGGGGCGTTTTAGCCACATACACTCAGGGAAAATGGTACGCAAACAATTTTAGATCCACCTTTAAGGTAGTTTTCGTACTTGAATAAATATCAAATCTAAGATCGCTTCTTACGACACTACACTTAATACTAGACTAGAAGAGGACAACAAGTTAAACTATATTGTCACAAAAGTAAACATAGTTAGGGAAGAAGACAACAGACCTGTAGAAAATCCGGACATTTCTTTTTTATAATACCAAGCTAGCACATCAGCCACGAACCAACAAATACCCTCGTAGCAGGGTCCGAAATTAAAAAGTTGCTAGCTAGTTAGAGGGGATCCAAGACCAGCAGTTAACTCCACACCATAGATCCACAACTCGTCTTCTTAACAGCAACAGCTATTATATTCAACAATTTAGCCTTTAAGTTCAGTTTTTAAATCATGCCTTACTGATCACAAATTTCCATACTTAAAGTTTGCAAGTAAATACAAAATTTCTAGAAAATACATCTCCAAAGATAAACAAAAAATAAAAATAAAATACAGACAAATTGATAACCTCCTCCTTTTTGAAGTTCGTTAAAAAGAATTAGAATTAAAAAGAATTAGCTTTTTACAAACGAATTATTAGCACTACAGGCTTAGAGACTTCGAATGTGAAAACAAATCAAACGAAATACATTCAGCCTAATCATTAGGCAAAGTCTTGAAGCTGACTGAAACGTTTATACAATAGAGTCCTAAATTAATCCAAAAACTGTCCCATCGAAGATTTTTTACAGTTTTGATAGAAGTACTTTTGAGTTTATGCAAATCTAATGAAATCAATCGTCTTTGATTTTTTGCTGAGTGCATGTGTTTTTTGGTGGCCTCATCATTTCGCATATGAAATATGAAAACAAAATCTCTAGCATATTTGACCCATATTTGTGAGATTTCCTTTGAAGTGGCCTTCTGTGTGGACCTGCGGCAAAAAAGGCGCTATTCGAAGCATGCTCTTATGGCCATATCGTATCACTTGAGAAGTCTTCACAGTTCCCATAGTGCTCGAAACATTTCGAGAAGACATTACAGTGGCTGCCATTGTTCTTCTATTTCTTTTTTTCCTGTTGATGCTTGGTTTGACTTTCTTTGTTGTTGTGGGTTCGCTGTTTAAGTGACTTTAAATTATGTATTTAACATTTGATACTGTGGGAGGGGGGCAGTAGCAGAGGGGGCGCCTCAACGTTTACTGCAATGTAATTGTAATAATTTAGTGTTGTTTTCTATACGTTTTTCTGTCTGCCTGTAGGTCTGTGGGTCTGTCTGTTTGTTTGCGCAGACAAACTACGATAAGTATAACTGAAAAAAATGCACATAAATAAAAGCTCAAGTGCGTGCGCTTTGTTATTGAGACTCATTCAAGCTATTCCGTTGTTGTTGCTGTTGTCGGCCAGCATTGTTTGTTTGAGCCGCCAGCGCCAGCTTTTTATGGGCATTTGATGTGCCAGAGCCAGAGTCAGAGCCACAGCAACAGCAAAAGCAAAAGCAACAACATAACTTTGATAGTCATCAGCAATGTCGGCATCTTGCTCTTAAATTCTGATTTCGTGAACTGGACGATGTCGACAATGTCGACAGCGACAGCAGCATGCGAACAACTCTACGACCAAGACGCTGCACTTTGGCGGCACTTTCACCCGATTTCTTTCGGCATTGAGTTTCGTTCGTTTTCTTGGCATTTCACTTGCGTTTTGACCAACGCCAAGGCATTGCGGCTTATTTATGTGGCATGTTGCACTTTTAAGAACCAACAACCGACCCAACCAACCGACGAACAAACGAACGAATGAGCATACAAGCACGCAAAGTACGAGTACATCCAGCTCTTCGTTGCTCTTGGCACATTAAAAGTGAAACAGTTTGAACCGTTAGGGGGAGGGACTGAGGGACGGACCAAGGGGTATGCCAAAATATGCAACTCATGCATTAAATTGTCGCTGTTTTATTTCTCATTGTTTTTGTTTATCTTCAACTTGTTGCTGTCAAACTGGTCCGCATCGTCCGCATGGTCCGCGTCGTCCTCCTCTTCGTCTTCGTTGTCTGGGCGCTGTCGCTTCGAGCTTGGAACTTGTCGCTTGCCATTGTTGAGCATTTTGGAGCATTTCGTATAAAGTAGCTGGGCAGCTAGAAGACATACGAAACTAGGTCAAGTGGCGCCCACTTTTGTTTTCTTTGATGTGGGACACAAACGCACAAGAACCTAACATTTTAACCCATTTCGTACACAGTTCCTACTCGAATACTTAGCAATTATTTACATAATTGTTTCTGTATTTAGAAGCAACGCTACTAATCACACCAAGTATATGTTATCGCTCTAAAAACTTTGGGTTCTTTTAATCGGAGCTCCCAATAATATTAGCTCACAAATCCTTAATTTTTACAAATCTTCTCTAAGCTTGAGAGAAATTTAAGAATGCGCGAAAATCGCAGTTAGTAGCCCCGTCCATTTATCTTTACAAAAGTATTGAAATATACACAAACATTGTTAAGATATATCAGGCCTTTATTGAAGTCACAAATGCTATAGAGTAGTGAATCAGAGGCACACAACTTATACCCTAAGCTCTTCAACATTGTGTCTCACAATTTGTTTCCCTCTTTACACATTTATTTGTAGGACTAATTTTGGCAGGATCGCTGTTCCTGCTGGCCCAATTGAGCATCTTTGGCATTTGGAAGACCGTGCAGCGACGCACACGCAAGGAACGCTATCTTTACCAGCATGAGCCCACGCCCACTATTAGCTATGGAGCGCCCACCATGATCTATGGTCCACCACCACCATCGGCTGCGTCACATATGAGCAGCGGCACCAAGGATACGCTGAGCAAGCTGTATGATAGCGGCATCAATGGACGCTATGGAGGACAACAGTTCTAAGAGGATTTAAGTGAGAATTAAACGCAATACGCCTCGAAAGCTTCAAAAAGATTCGATGAGACTTGAATAGACATTTTCGTTAGCACAACGAAGTGAAACGAAAATCAATTTTAAATACAAGTTATACTTATATAGTTTAATTAAATCATAGCTTAATCTTATAACTTAGCTTAAATTAACTTAAACGAACTACACTTAACTAATGGACTAATTTTTTTTGTGCGTGACAGAAATGCGTGCTTTTAAATGCGATTTCAGAGCATAGCAAAATTTAAAGTTTAACCAAATTTTAGTTGATTGCATTTTAAAACTGCGCATTGCTCTTAAATTCTATCTACTTAGTTTAAACATAAATGCCTTTAGTGAATTAAACAATATTTAAAGAGAAATCAAGCAAATGCTAGCAAAAGTTAAGCTAATTTTAAATTTAGTGAAAATCTCTTTCAAATCCAAAACAAAACAAAACATCATCACATCTAAGTCTTTGCGGTGTTTGCTGCCAAAACTCAAGCAAGTGGAATGCATTTATAACTTTTATTTTATTTATTTATTTATTGCTTATTCGAGCTGCTTTATAGCTGAATGCAACGTTTCTTTGCAGGCTTGCCAAATAATTTTGTATCAAAATGTTTGCGCAACGCTTTGCGCAACGGTGTATTTAACTTATCCGAGTCGAAAGCTAACTATTCGAAATTTATTTGTACTTCATACCTTCTATTTATTGCTAATTTATTTATTGCCGAAACGTATAGGGGTGCTAATTGTTAGGGTTAAGTGCGGGCTCAATGTGCAACAACACAGGAAATACGAGCTACGATGCTTAGTTTAGACTTAAATAGTATATATACGAGTATGTATCTTGCTAAACGAATTGTACTGATTAAGTAAAGCAACAAAATCTATGCGTAATAAACTCTACACATAATAATAAATGCCTAAACATATGAATAAAAATATACCTCTTCTTTCATTTGGCTATGGAATCTAATCTTCTAATATCAAATGGAAATATGTATGAAATGAAACTACTACGTCATTATGCAGGTTATTGCAAATCAGAAAGCATTCGAAAAACAGCTAACAAAAACTATAATTATGCTAATATCAAAAACTAGTCGTAAACCAAATTTAATTTAGAAAGAGATTGGAAATTGAATGGAGTGTTTAATGCCTTTCCTCAGCTTCAAAATGAATAAAATCTGCATTTGGTTTAAATTTCCCATCAAATATTGATGAGTAATTCTATAAAATATATGGTCAGATTATTGGACCCCAACAACTTAATTCTACAGCAAAATGCATCAAAAAGAGGCAGAATGCAAAAGTAATTTTTCCTATCCTAATTATTCCTCATATTTTCCTAATGCCTAAAGGAGACAGCATTTTTAAAAGTATAGTAATGACTCTACGTGGGTAAACGAATTGATTCAGCTGAAAGTCTTTGTTAAGGAATGGGTAGAGAATTAATTACAATAATGTACGCAATGTCGTTTCTCAAGTTTCAACTGGTAAAAAATAATGCCTTCTCGACAACAGAAATAGCAACAAGTGGTAGATTTAACAACTATTCAACAAATTTCAAATTCAAATCATGTCACTTTGAAAAATCTGAAAATCAAGTTCAGTGGCCCTTGGTTTTCTACTTTTTAAGATACCAGGTATACTCATATGGATATATTTTATAAATTTGTATTGAAAAAGTAGTAAGTATCTTAATAGTCTAGAAACGTTGTTACACGTTAAGAACATTTAAATATAAAAGTAAACGACCCACAAAATTAGACAAAACTATTATACGAGTAAGTAACCGTGAAAAAACGAAAATATTTGTCAAGTTGATAGTACATTGTCATTCTTTTGTTATTTACAGCAAGGAAAGGTTTAAGATTCTGGTACAATTTGGTAAAATGGAAAAAAAAAAACATGAAATACAGAAATTCAATTTTCTGAAGCTTATAATTTTCATCATGGAAGCATTCGTAAAACATTCGCACTGCTTTTTGCTTTGTTTCAGGCTCATATATCATAAATTTAAATAAAACTAATTTTTTAGTTAAGTTAAAAACCATTTGCATTCAAACGTTAAAGAAATCGAACCAAAATTAATAGACGAACATATTTAAATAAAGAAAATATAGTACCTAATAAAGTTCATAAAAAGAGTACATTCTCCTCAAAAAGTTTTTGAAACTCCATGTTTTAAGAAAATCTGAATAAAAGTTTATTTGAAACAATTTACAAATAAAATACAAATAAAATACCACAAATACGAACTAGGCTAAAGCGGTTATGCTATTGTTTACTAAAAAGTTGACGATAAGTCAACATATTTCAAATCGAAATTATTGTCTGTATTTTCCTCTAGGACTACAAAACGGTCGGCGCAGAAAATGTTAAGTGAGAAACAATAAAAAATTTACAAATTATAATAATTTTACAATTAAATAAAATACCGCAAATAAAAACTAGGCTAAAGCGGTTATGCTATTGTTTACTAAAAAGTTGTCAATAAGTCAACATATTTCAAATCGAAATTATTGTCTGTATTTTCCTCTAGGACTACAAAACGGTCGGCGCAGAAAATGTTTAAGTGAGAAACAAAAAAAAAATATTTACAAATTATAATAATTTTACAATTAAATAAAATACCGCAAATAAAAACTAGGCTAAAGCGGTTATGCTATTGTTTACTAAAAAGTTGTCAATAAGTCAACATATTTCAAATCGAAATTATTGTCTGTATTTTCCTCTAGGACTGCAAAACGGTCGGCGCAGAAAATGTTTAAGTGAGAAACGAAAAAAAATTTACAAACTATAATAATTTTACAATTAAATAAAATACCGCAAATAAAAAGTAGGCTAAAGCGGTGATGCTATTGTTTACTAAAAAGTTGACGATAAGTCAACATATTTCAAATCGAAATTATTGTCTGTATTTTCCTCTAGGAATACAAAACGGTCGGCGCAGAAAATGTTTAAGTGAGAAACAAAAAAAAAATATTTACAAATTATAATAGTTTTACAGTGCAGTGAGCAGCGGAAGTTACAAAGCTATAGCCAGCATATCGCACAGACATCATCACTAAACGCCAGCGGCAGCAGCGGCAACAATAACAAGAACAACAACAAGAGCGACTGACAAGCGGGAACCGGCAGCTTGGTCGGCACTTGCCGCTAAACAAAAGTGTTAATCAAATTATGAGAAGCCGCTACAACAACAAGAACAACAACAACAATACTGTAGCAGGTTTAACCAGGCGTTTTACGATCTCTTTAACGCTTCAGCTACGCACGCCATTATGCCTGGCCACGACATCAAAATTCAAAAGGCAAAAAGAAAACAATCACTCAAAAAAGCTGAGCGCGCAAAAAAGGCAGGCGTTCACAATTAATCATGATCATGAATTGGTTATAGACAAAGTCGAGCAGACCCGACGACGCGTCGTCAACACATATATTTATATGTGGTATATACATACACACAAGTATATATGTATACTTGTATGTATGTATGTAGCCGTAGTACAAGTATGTGTCGCTAACGCACCTTAATGGAAACTAAATGAAGACATTTCGCTGTCTGGTTTTGAGCGCGGTAGGTGTGCTGCGAGTATGTGGCTCTAAAAGCCAAACCAAGACGCATGACAAGACGCATGTGCGTCGTGTGCCATGTTTGTTTGCCACTCGGCGGGTCTGTCCGTTGGTCTGCTGGTCGGCATGAATAAAACGCCCCTATTAAAAAAGCATCAACACGCGTCGTGTTGACAATTTTTATGGCTTGTTGGCGCGTATTTGGTCTGCAGTCTGGCCCGTCTGTCCAAAGCGCCGGCTGCTGCACTTCTGCACTGAACAAAAGAAAAACGGTAAAGTGTTAGCCAATGAGTGTTAGGATGCCAGTAATTCAAAGGCCAGATATTTGCTCCAGTTCAATATGGCATCATGGATCAGCGATATAGAAGTGGAGAAGTTGAACAAATATTTATTTAAATAGAATTGAAATGTAATCTATATATATTCAACTTATGCTAATGCTGTGGATATAAAATTAAAGCGCATACCAAAATGTTCACTTTTCAAATCATTTTAATTGCAATTTTTAGCTTATTCAAATTCAAATATTTTTACTTGAAGGAAATAAAATATTTTTAATTCCCCTACCAAGCAACCGATCTTCAAATTTGAAGTATATATGCAAAACCTTTCCACCCTTTCATTTTCTGATCTAAATTTATTATAAACTTAAAATACATCAGTGTTCAAAATACTGTCTATAATTTTCACTAAAAACGCCACCGATTTTCGAATTTATTACGAAGTTAAGTTCACAAAACGCAGTTTCAAAATTCAAGCACATATCTTCCTAATGTTTTCCTTGTTTTCATTTTATAAATACTAGATTTTAGATGAAAACTGTAAAAGCTTTAAGATAGCACTGGTTAATATGTAGCGGATGTATTTTCCATTGAAAATAAAAGTTAAAAACGAAAAGTTATCCTACTCGTATATTGTTCTAAATTATCACAACAAATTTTAATTTTCGGCTTAAAAGAATAAAATACTAAAAAAAAGATTTGCCAACAATGAAGAGGTGGAGTCTGCAGTTGATAGCTTTTTGTGTGCACTATAAAAAAGGGTACAGAGGTTATTGAACATAGCTGGCATATCGAGCTAAAAGAGGCCTACTTATGTAGCGTTATAATGATAAGTATTTTGTTCTCCAATTTTGTATATTTTCGTTGTTGGTTGTGTTCCTTCAATAACTACCAAAAGCTTCCGTTTACTGACGAATAAGCTTACAAGTTACAAGGCCCTGCTAATTTAAAAATGAATGAAACTACTTTGAAATGAAACTGTCGGCGATTTGCGTTGGCAGGGAGATGGCTAATCGATGTGCATTCCCAACATTTTTATACCCTGTACCCAAAAGGGTACAAGGGTATATTAGTTTTGTGCGAGTGCACATGGAACACACAGAAGGAGGCTTGGTAGACCCCACAAAG